TGTTTCCCGAGTGGGGAGAGGAGGATGGGATTGGGAGAGAGGTGCTGAAAAATCACCCCGCGAAGGAGTCGGGGAGGGAGTGCCATCCCCTGCTGGGAGGGATGGAGGGGGGCTCCTGGGCAGGCCCCGGGAGGGGAGCTCGGCCCTGCGGTGGGGTGGAGGGGGGGGAAAGACTGTGGAACTTGTGGCAGCCTTTTCCCCAGGACAGCATCCCGGCGTGGGGATGCGATTCCCTCCTGGATGGTCGCCCTGTGCCCTGTAATGGGGGAGAGACCCGGGAGTACTTTAACATCTCTGCGTTCATGGCTTGCCTGTCATTTTCCTCGGTGCACAGATTTCCTGTTTTGAAAACTAGGCTGATAGCTTTGTTGGGGTTTTAAAGCCAATAGTAAAAATAGGGTTCTCTAATAACCGCGTTTAGTACCCCATTAGGTTTTGAGGCTTTGGGAGAGGAGTTGTAAATGCCCCTGGATGGGTTCACTTTGCCCCCTGTAACTTAGATCTGCAGCGTTTGGAGGAAATGGCAGGGACAAAATGGACAGTTAATAAAAGGAACAATTGTATACTGCCTATTCTAGAGGGCACTTGCTGCCCTTCAAGAACTTTCCTCATCTCATATGCTCTTTATACAGCAAATCTTTATCTTCTATCTCTTTTTTTCCTCCTACCTTAGTCCAGAAAATGAAACTGGAACAGACATTTCTGGAAATGAACTTGATTGGTGCAGTTGGGAAGATGTGATTCACAGTTATAATGAACGTTGAAATTTGTCCCATTTTTTCGCAGTTCAGTGTTCAAATTGTACATTTTCTGATTTTTAACCTGTTTACACAACAATGCTGGAGATTTTTTTTTAACCCTTCAAATAATGGCATCCGTTGTATTGGATTGCCAAGAGGTACCCCAGGTACATTCAGTATACAGAGGCAGCTGTTACACTAGAGATGTCTGATGCTTTACTCTATAAAGTAAAAGGTTTAAATGAGCATTATTTTCTTCTTATAATCCCTCTCTGTGCTTGGAAGAACCAAAGCTGTTGTCAGTGAAATCTGGAGTTCGGGGAGATCTAGTATTTCCAGGATTGGCCAAAAATAAATTATGGGGTAAAAAATGTTGCTTTTTTTTTTTTTCTGCTAGTCATGCAGCACGGATGAAAAGCTCTGAAGCTTTTAGTCATAACACTCTGGTCCCATGTTTTCCTTTTAATAAAGCATCCAGTGGGAGAATGTGACATAATTGGTTTCTTGGATTTGGAGATCTTGAAATGGCTGGTACAACAGATAGAAGAGGAAATTCTCCAGCAGGGTTATGGCTTAAATACAGTAACATGGTGGCAAAGTCACGTTATTATTGCATGGTAATCTTGCATTTCTCTTGCAAGAAAATGCTCTCTACATGGCTATGCTGCAGAACAGGCAGTTTTGAATCTCGTCGGTGGCACAGAATATTAAACCTCGCTCCTTTCCTTGCATTGCATAATCTGAGTGTTGTTCTCCCATAGCAGCAGAAATGATGGAAGAATTGCATAGCCTGGACCCACGAAGGCAGGAACTACTGGAGGCCAGGTTCACTGGAGTCGGGGTTGCTAAGGTGAGTGTGAGTACCGTTGGTAACAGGCATGACTGCTTATCCATCCTGTGCTGCACTTTGGGTTTTTAATTTCTACATTGATAATTTTCCTTTGCTAGCAGAATGTTTTGTGTCAGTACTTGTGTTTTGAACGCTAATTTGCTTGAAGTATGTTTAAGAGGAATGAAAATGGGATCTCTATGAGCAGATGTTTTGCTATACAGAAGATTTTGGGTTCTAATTAAGTTTTTAGGAGTTGCTCCATCTTAAGGCAGCTTGTACACCCCAAAAAAAAAACCCCGTGACAACTTTGTCTTTGGGAGTGGGAATCTCACCTGTCTGGTCCTTTCTCCAAGAATGCATTTGAGAACTGAATTTGGCCACTTGTTAGATACAGTTTCAAGTTAACTGCGGTTGATACAACGTGTAACCAGGCTTTATATATTCAGGAATGTGTTCAGTTCTCTGTGAGTGTGGCATGCTAAAATTGTGTACTGGGTCACATAGAACACACACAAAAAAGTATTTGAAGGTAAGCTCTCCTGTATCTGGGGTCCACAACCTGCTAGTAAAATCCCATCTTTGTCCTCACGTACAACTGCATAACTGTTCAGTAGCTGCCTTATTTTGAGTAAGGCGCTTAAATAATAACATTGTGTGGTTGCTGTGTATACTAGCGTTAAGTTGTTAGTTCTCCAGATGTTGTTGGTAGTGTTAATTGATAGTGTCTCTCTGAGCAATGAAATGGTGGCAGAACTCCTCTTAAACTAGGTCAGCGATAAGGAGTTTGCTTTTGAGGAAGACACTGAGTTTTGGACAACATCGAGGAAGATGGTAAAACAACATATCATTGCTAGATAATTTTCGGAAACCTCTTAGAATTATTTTTAGAAGAAACTTTGTAGAGGCTGTATTTCTTAGAAAAATTCAAATCAGAACTTGAAAAAGGGTTTAGTTTGAGTTCATACTTTTCTTTCTGATCTGTACTTCAGTCAGGACTCAAACAAGGTTAAGCCTTGGAAGGGAGCATGAGAAAGTAAAATGTTCAGCTCTACAGGTAGTGTGGGAAGGAAGATTAATGCTAGAAGTTGTTAAGGGGTAGCAATTTTGGTTGCTGGTGTAAGAGTGTGGCGTATTTTTGATCTCTTACCCCACTCTTAAGAATTTTAATCTTAAGGCTTTTACTAGCATAAAAGTTTATGCTACATAATGTATTTACCATCATGAAAGACTTGTTTTATACAACATTACAACTTTTTATGTACTTTTTCATCTGTTTCTTGCCTCTTTGCCCATTAATGTCACTTTAACATCTTTAGCTGTACCAGTATAGATAAAGCCAAACAACTTTCTGGAATAGCTAAGACTTGGAAGCATAGATGCTGTCGTTGCTTTAAAACGGTGCCAACATACTCAATGCTCACAAAGAATGTTAGGAACTATTCCTTTTAAAGGAATAACCTTTAAAAGATACAGGAAAGCGAGTCTTAATTATGTTTTCAATATGTTTGGAGCAGAAAGTACATGCCCTTTCTCTGTAGGGTGAATATTGAAAACTCATTTTTGTTTCTAAAGCATATCCAAGTAAAAAAAGCCTGATTCTTGGAGGCTTTGCTTTGAGCAAAGCTGTTCTGTTACTGAGTTTTATTTTTACCTGTTGTTATGTAGTATAGTGTTTTACTTTGTACTAGTCAGTAAACTGTTAAAGTGCATTACAGTTAGTTCAAACAATATATATTTATTTACTTGCATACTTGCTAATTTACAGTAGATCAGCCAACCATTGATATGAATTAGCATGACTCTACTATGTTGCAGCAAATCTTGGTTGCAATATTAATCTCAGCTACTACGTTCCCTCCCAGGTTGGTGCTTCAAATTCCCTCCCTACCCCCCCAAGTCTCCGTCCGTCATGCTCCGCACTGGCATTGGTAGGTCATTGTCTTAAAGGGAATATATTGGGAAAGCTGTGATACAATTTGTATGATTCAACTAAGATTTTTAGTTCTCTCCAATTAAATGTTTAAGGAAAGCTACGTAGAGTAAGTTAGTGCCATCTAGTGGGACTGGGACTGGCACATCCTCCTGGGATAGAAGGTATTCTGTTGCTGTTTATTGCATAAAAGGAAGAAATGTCATCTTAGATGCTTTCCTATTGGGCGAAGGCAGCGAGGCAGTTGTAACTGAGCTTCCTGCCTTCCACTGACTGGGTGTATCGCTTAGTGTGTTTGGTTAGGTTTCTTCAATGTTTAAAAATACAGGATACATTTTGGACCTGCGTAAAGTAATGCACTAGTTTGCATCCTTAATACAACTGCAGCTTTAAAGCCCGCTCTCCTTCCATGTTTGCAAGTAAAAAGCAACTATACGTGTTTCTGAGAAATGAATGGGACTAAGCTGATCTAGAATAATTTTTCAGGCTGCAAACGAGAAAAAAAAGCTTCTAGCCATCAGAGTCATGGGATTCTGGAAGAGCTTTCCAGTAACAGTAGTAGAGGACAGAAATCCTAAACTGTTTTGGAAACAGCTGTGTGCTGTCACCTCCTGTGGTAGCTGAAGGCACAACCCAGTGACTGAGGTCATCTGCAGTCCCAAATGCCTCAAAATTCTGTTGCAAGTCTGTGATGAATTATCTTACTTAGTAGCTGGAGAATACATTTCTCTAGAAACTTGGAGTTAATACGTGGAAACAAATTTATGAGCAAGGAATGTTTCTAGGCAACTGTTATACTCATGTGGTTCACCCAGGTCACTAGATAGCTTCAAAAAGCCAGTGATGCTTTAGATGTCTATTCTTGCCATATGGTCAAGTGCCATTCTTACCCAAATTCGCAAAGCAAGTCCTTGAATTAACACATGACTATCTGACACCTACCACTATTCCTGCTTATTTAGCTCCTGTTTGTGTTTACTTACTAGGGGAAATCTAAGCACAGTCACTTGAGGTGTTATTCTGACTAGTTGTCTCAGACATCTTCCTTGGGTCAGGAGGTACAGAAGACAAAATGTAGTTTGTTTTTCTAGATAACATTGTTTAATTTTGTCTGTTCTCATCTTCTGCCTCCCTTCCCCCTGTTTGGGTACTGCCTTTAAGATATCAGATGGGTTAACTCCAAAGGATTTGTGTAATTTCCACAGACGTTTCCTGGATAAGAATGGGAATAGGTAACTCTGATGGGGGAATCCGTATGTGCACATGCATCACAGCAGCACATGTATCTTCTACAAGTTTGGTCTTTAAAAAGATTCAAATGAAGTTGTGTGTGCCACTTTATTATAGCTAAATTAAAAAGGCAGAAGTGTTTCTAGAGAGAGTAACCTTCTCTGTTGTGCTGTAGGAATCCTGTAGGTCCAGATGACTGTGCTCAAATTGAAGAAGTACTGGTCTTGGTGGTAGCTAGTGGTCCCTTTGCTCCCTCTGAGGTATCGCAAAGAGGGAAATGAAAATAACCTGAAGAGCGTCACTTATGCTGCGGAACATCTGCCTCCAAAAAGAGAATTGCTCACAAAAAAGACCAGAATTTGCTTGTATTATTTTGGTTTTTACCCTTTTTCTGTCACTCTAGCAGTCTTGATCAGTTAAGTAACTACCTGTTGTGCAGTCTACTTAGCAACATTCTTAGCAGCCAAGTTACCAAGTTGGGAATTTGTGTTTGAGAATAATCATGTGTACCTTGGAAGGAAGTGATGCTGCGCAGTGATGGTCCTTCACAGGTGTCACATGCCACCAGAAGAACTAGTTACTAAGAGTTTTGAAACTTAGAATTGAATTTATCAGCTATCACAGAATGCGCCAGGACTTTATGCCAGATACTTGAAAATTGTTTCAATGCTTCCGTGTGCAACTTTACTTATTTCAAATGTGTCATCTGGCTACAAGAGACCAGAAATAGTTGTCAGATCTCAGTTCTATTTCTGCCCCTGAACTGAGGGTTAGGGTGAATTGCGTGACCCTTCTGTCCAGTTTGCCATCAGTGAAATAAAAATACATTTTTTTTCAACCTGAGACAATTCTTGAGGCATAATGGAAGCCAAGCAAATCCTGTTGCAACTCTGCTTACCCATCTGATATAGTGGAGGTTACCTGTGAATGTCTGATGGTAGATTAACTTCTCATGGTAAAAAGACCTAGGTGATTTGGGGATTTCATTATTGGCTATAAGACCAAGCTTTTCTAAAAGCCCAATTAAGAAGCAGACTGTAATTCTCATACTTATGTGATGCTTGAAATAAGATAAGAATTTGTTAATTAAACCTGTCTTATACAGTAGGACTGGATCAGAGAAACCGGAAAACTATTCAACCATTTCACTGTGGTGTAAGCCCGCGTGGAGTCAGCACTAACTTTAGTGGAACTAAGGAGTAACTTTTTCCTTTTGAAATCTCTTGATTTGCTACAGAATTCAGAAGGACTTGGGTTACCTTGGCTTGAGGTAATGAAGCATGTCTCTGCCATTGAGTTAGCAAGAGAATTTTGCAATGCGTGTCGCTGTAAGTCCACAATGGAGACTCTGGCTAGGCAGCTTGAATTCTCAGAGCTGTCTTTCAGTACGAGGAGCTGGAGAGCACAAAATGGAGACTGCCCGACGCAAGAGTTGCAGACAGGCCTGAGGGATCATTTTTGGGAGCTTGGAGTGGCTGAGGAAATGCTCAAGTCATACGAGGCAATAGATGGGCTTGAAGAGGAGGTAGGTAAGGGCAGCCTGAGTCAGGCTAACTTTGTTACAGAAGATCCGATGGGAGCTCTTCACAGGCTAAGTTGTTTCTATTGAAACTTCAGCCATTGTGCCTCATTTGTAGCCTTTCCAGGGCTCTCGCAAAGGGAGAAATGACTAACCGACTCGTGTGAGTGGACAGATTTTAAATTTTTGCCTTTGAGTAGGAGTCTTGAAAGCGCCTGCTACTGCTGCTTCCACTTCTCAACATGGAGGTTTTGTTGTGCATAGGTAGGTCACGGACGTAGAAGCAGCAGTTGATAGGTGAATCACAAGGGAAAAGAGCATGCCAGCTTATCTCAGAAAGAAATTCCTTGCGGAGGAGGAAGTGTGTGCTGTTCTTGTGCTTGTCATTTGGGTAAACACTATAGAAACTATTAGCTTATTTCAGATGACCCACGTATTTTGAATTTTTGCTGAGCCCCATCACTGATTCTCTTGACAGGGTACAGTGGATGAGTGGGCTGTAAGTGATACCAGGGAAGTGCAGCATTATCCTAAAGTAGTTTATGCTAGAAAAGCCAGATGCCAGTGCAGATGACTTCTTCAGGAACAAAATTTATAAGCCCTTCCTGTGCAAACTATTGCGTGTTTATTATTCCTTACTGCTACTTCCCCAGCAGTATTCTGATATTACTGTTCTTTGCTGTTGCTACTTGTTTTTTTTCCAAAATTCAGCTTTGTTCCTTTAATTCCTTTTGTGCCATGACCACTTATAATGGTATGCTAAATTAAGTACTGAACATCTATCCAATGTCAGTTGCTGAGTTAAATATAAACAGTTAGGAATGATAAAACATAAATTTGAAGGGTTTTTTTATACACACACTCACTGACCGTTAGTTGAGGGGGGGATGCTCAGATGTATGGTTTCTCATATCCATTGTCTAAACCTGTTGCTATCAGCAGTTGATAACAAGAGGTTATGTGTGAAACTAGATATCTAGCTGGATGATCAGGAAAATTTGCTTTTCCTTTCTCTTGCATAACTATGTGAGACAAGGTGCAGTTGAGGACTAGGCCATGTTCCTTAAACATCCTAGGTATTGCATCTTTATTGCTTAAAGTACAGCACGTTCTAATGAGCAATTTATGTTTCCATGGCCGGAATTCCTCAAAACAAGACTTTTTTTGTCAATTTTGACATGAACAAGATGCTTCAGCTGCTTGCCTGTAGGATAGGCCTAATCCTGTCCTTTGAGAAGTGTCAGTGGAAGGCCCTCTAGATGATCATCAAGGGAGAGGAAAGCTCATGCAGTGGAAATGGGTCAAAACTTACCTACGACGAATTAATTCTGCATTTGTTCACAATATCAATACACATGGCAGTGAGCTGGCTGGATACTTACAGACATCTGACAAGCTGTTCTTTGCTGGTTCCATAACTAGTAGTTAGTTCCTTTTCACCCTTTCCACTACTGCGTTGAGTTCAATTTTATGATTTTTGTCAGTATATTTTCTAGAGGAAGTTTTAAAGTAAAGGGAAAATAGTTTTTTTTCTCTCTTTGAGGATTTGTGATCAGATCTGAACTGCTGTTTTGTTGATGCAAAAAGTGGGTTTGATTCCAACTGCTAGAGCTGTACGTTTCCCACACGGAATAGTCAGTACAGGTAGTTGTGGTGCTAGCTGTAAGAAAAACATTGTGGATTTTGTATTAGGCATTTTTCCAGCTGCTTCCATTCCAAAACTTTACATTCAGATGCATCTGAGTGTATTATTTTGTATCGGAGAGGATAAATTTGTATTTCTGAAAAAAAAATCTTAGGATCCTTTCTAACTGTAGACGGCCTCATCAGTTTATTTCTCCAGGTTACCCTGTAATACCGGTCCAGTGCTGAAACATTGTCCCTTGGTTAGCCACTGACATACCCTTTCAACCACAGTGTTCCTGAAAAGCTCAAACGTGGCATTTTGGGAGCAGCTGTTCCTGTCATTTGCTATCCATGTGCAAAATGGAGGCAGCGAGATTTAAGCAAATGTGGGAACAACTTTCACTTTCATCTCCATCATGTCAGAACCCCAGCCTGTCCATCTGAGACCAGCAAATGCTAATTGGTTGAGATGCGCCTGCACCTAACAAAGCTTTCACACTTGCACAGAAGGCGGACGTCTTGGATGCGCTGCTGGAGTTTGAGTTCATGAGAGGAAGTGAAGGATGTTAGAGGATGGCATTTGTGCGGTTTATAAACAAGCTTTTTACATGGGTGAAAAGATTAACTTTCTGTTGCCACTTGCTGTGAGATATTACATTTTTCTTATCAATGAGGCCTTCATGTGGATGTAGCTAAGGGTAGTGTTGGCACTTCTGTTGAGTCCTATTGGCCAAGGAATAAATCCCTCGCGTAACCAGGTGTTGCACCTGTAAGATTTATGAGCCATCACATTGGGTGGTGAGGAGCTTGCTTCTTTGTTTAAAAAGCGACTAAATTTTAAGCTTTTGTATTGCTGAAGAGATGAAGTAAAGTATCTTTCTGGTCTTGAGCTATTTGTGTGATGAGTTGAAGGGGTAATGGTATGGCTTAAGCAATATCACCTGCAATTTTTCTTAAAGTAATTTGCTTTCAAAAGGGAATCTTGAATGTGTAGCTTCTCGAGCTGTTCAAGTGTTGGGTTTTTTTGTTGTTGTTGAAGCAACTAAGCATGTCCTTTTAGGAGAAACAAATTTGATAGTTAACATTCACAGTGTAATACAGAAGGTAAACAGAACTTTTGCTTTCTGTGGATGCCTGCTTGGAAATTGGGGTTAGTAACAGCTAGGTTGTGTCACAAGTTTAATTTGGTCGTGGTGTTTGTCTTATAAATGGGGAAGGGAGAAGTGCTACCCTCAAAAATAATCTACTGTGGGATTTCTCTGTGGTGTTAAGGCTTCTCCCCTACCCCTCCCATAAGTCTTGTGCTCAAATATATAATGAGAAGTGGCTTTGCCTTGAGAAAAGACTGATTGGTGGGAAGTGGTTACTGCAAAAATAAGAATGCTAAAATAGAATGAATCTTTGGGAAAAGATGCTCACAAGTTATTAATGGAGAGGTGGCTTTATCATGTCATTCTTCCTGTTAATACATTCCATCAGTAATTGTGAATCTTGTTTTTATATCTTTGTCAAATTCGTCTAGATTTCTTAAGTTAGATCTGTAGGAGGATACTTTTGTGTCAGAGCACTAGCATAAAACACAGTGACTTTGCATGAATCACTTTTCTTTCCTTTTAAAACCAGTTTTGATATAGATTTTAAAAAATAATTTTCAAAACTGCTTGGATACGTGAAAATGCAGATGCGTATCCACTAGAGCCTGCAAAGATGCAGGCAGACTCTTGTAGGTGCCTGGATACTATTTTGGTAAATCTATTCCAGCCTCCTGAATTTGTGCTTTAGCCTGGCAGGAGCAACTGCTCTGTTGACAGGTCAACCGTGGGTCCATAAAATAGCCTAGTGGGAAGGATCATCTTAGGGGTGCCAGTTGCACTGCTGTTAACACAACTTTCACTTGTTCATTTTCCTTGTGTTAAAAAAAGCATAAAAATTACGCATTTAAAGAAAAATCAGTGGTACTGCCAGCATCTGATAACAGTAATAGCTGCCTTGCCAGATGGAAGGTGCCTCTGAATTCTTAGCCCAGGGTTAAGCAGATGCTTGCCTGAAAAGCTGAGCTTGGAACTACTGCTACTCAACAAATCAGAAGTTTTGTTTCCCAAACCAGTTGTCTTAGACTTTTATGAATACTGCCTTGGCTGTTTTGTGGCTGTGGTTAAATGGAACAGTTAGGATATAAATTGAGATAGAAATACCATCGCAGAGGCTGGATCGGTATGCTGAGAAAAGACTGTCCAACTGGCAGTCCAACTTCCATCTTGCTCACTCTGAGGTTTTTTTTTAGTGCCCCATCATGTGCCTAGGTATTTGACCTGTGTTGCTGCTGTATCCACGTGACTTAGAGCAGCGTAGTTAGCCCAGAGATGCAATGTTTGATAGGACGTATCTGCCTTGTATGGAAGTTGTTTCTAACAGTCTTTGCTTGTTTTTCACTAGGGTCCATTAAATAGTGAGTCTTCCAACCAGAGCTTGTGCAGCGTGGGTTCTCTGAGTGATAAAGAATTGGAGGTAAGCAGGCACAAATCCTCGTGGTAATCGGGTTTAAGGTGGACATGATTGAACTCAAAACATAGAAGGAATTGTGTGAGAGTGAGTGACAGTGTTCTTTGTTTGCGGTGTGAAAGGGACTAGTGGAAGTACTTAGCCTGGATCTTAACCCTACAGTCTTTGGACTGTGCTGTGGAACAGTTCTTGAAGCTTCCCAATGTAGAAGGCAGATTTTGCCCAACCCCAAAAACACAGCATTTGTAAAGCTCATCTTATGAAATCGTTTTCAGCTGCATTGTGATTTGTTTGCTGGTTTTGGATATGATTTTGGCCAAACAAAAAGCCAGAGAGTGTTAATGGAAAAGTTTGCCTTACCTATCAAATATGTGAGTCTGCAGAAGTCTGTACAAAGCAAAGCATTTTTATGAATCGCTCTGTGGAAGTGTGGGGAGGTGAAAATTGATGCTTTGTCCCTGTTTAATCTCACTGCTTTAGGATTAACTATTTCAAAACACTTGCTAAAGCAGCAAAACGAATTGTAGAGTTACATTTTTACTTTAAAATTCCACATTAGTAAATCAAAATCTCAAATGCATTTTCTTATGCATTTAAAGAACTTCCCACACTGTTATCAGGTAAGTTTTTGGATCATATTTCCCCTCTATTATATGGCAGTACTGATATGAGGTGTCTGGTGAAGCTAAGTCTTTCGAGAAAGCAGTATCTTAAACTCTGTACAAGCAAGTATAAGTAATAGTGGATAACTGAGTGTTCATTCTTATTTTACTTGGGGTTTTTTAATGAACTTCTGTGGAATGATTGAAATTGACCAAGCTGACATAATCAGGTCTACCATTCCTTGCTTTTTCAGTCTGTAACAGATAATATTGTGTGTAATTTTTGTTATGTAAGTACTTGAATGGAAAAACAAGTTAAACTGAATCTCATTAATATGCTTACAGTTCCATGGAGGCTGTAATGGAGCCTGTGGTGTTACAGTCACGCCAACGCTGTTCATGAGTTGCTCTTCCCTACGCAGTGAGGAGGCTATGTCACTGACTTTTGCACATATAGGAGGTGGTACAGCAAGTCTCTAGATAGTTACGGAGTTTTCAGTCCCCCCATTCTAAAAAGTACTTTGCAGACACGATAGCCACCTTTGGCTTAACATCCCCTCCGTCCTCTTACCAAAACAACAACATGTCGGTGTCTGCCCAGCTGGTAACACGGGACTGTAGATGTCCAGCATCCCCTGGGGACACAGCCAGGTTTAGATTCTGGCTGTGTCAGCTTTATCCTGGTTATCCTATTAAAGGAGGTAGATTGATTTCTGTGCTTACTGTGTGCAAGTCTTTTGGCAGAGATCTTTAAACAGGGTACTTTGGACTTTGGTTTCCAAAGAGCATGAAACTTAGGTTTACCACAAACTTTCTGGCCATGGCTTTCCCTCCCCCAGAGTTGTGTTTTGCACACTGTGGTTTTCTTCCTGCCCCCAGGCTATAGTTTAGTGGTGGCTGCAGACATTGAAAAGCATATAGCTTGGAAATTATTTGGGACCGTTTGGGATAAGAGATGTTTTTAAAATGACGTTGGTGATGGAAATGACAAGATATCGTTCTTCCCAGCACCCTCAGTAAGCTGCTTCTAGCACAGTGCTTCCTAATGTTTTCAGCAGGTTTGGCCACGAGTGACCCTGGTGATGGGGAAAGCACAGTGCCAGGGTCTCCTCCGCTCTCACCTGTCTAGGCTTGCTAGCCTGGTACAGACGGAGAGGCGCGACGCTTTTGGAGCCTTCAAGCCTCCCGCCTGTGCTCTGTATTGTGCCTGTGCATAAATATATTGCTGTCCACGAAGCTGCCCCTCAGGTCTCTGGTTGCTCGCAGAAGTGGCAGATGCAACTGGCCCTTGACTTCAATGAGAGATGAATTGCTGCATCAGTGGTAGCTTTCTCCTGGCCCCCATCTTAGGGAGCTCTGCCTTGTTTTGTGTGAGGTTGCAGTTGCGCACCAGTAGGCAGGATAGTTCTTGTAGCTGTCTGCAAAGAGCTTTGGGAAGAAGCATCAGCTGCACGCAAGATGAATTGGCCTGGTAGACTGCGAGTAGCCACTGCAGTGCAAATTTGGATGTCTGTACTCAAACCTCTTGACATTATTTCTCTTGTACCAGTACTGTGATCACCATAAAATGGCTTTTACAGGTTTTATAAGTGTTTGAATTTGTTTGCTAACCATGTGAGGTAACTGGGCGGTAGAGGCTGGCTTGCTGCAGCTGAAATAGGAAAAAAATTAACCTCTTTCCTAACCGTGTTCTCTCCCTTCTGCAGCACATATATCAGAAGGTAGTAGCTGTTTGAGAGCAGTTGTTTCTTTAAGTACCAGCGATAGAAACAAATGCACCAGAGAAGTGAAATGGCCACTGGGGATATGGAGCAGATTATTGTGTTTTGGTATTTTCTTTAAATCTTGGAATAACTGCAGAAATGTTAATTTTGAAGTATTGTTTAACAGACTCCTGAGAAAAAACAGAATGACCAGCGGAATAGAAAAAGGAAAGCAGAAGCGTATGAGACCAGTCAAGGTAATTCATTCTCCTGATCCTGCTGCAGGATTTCTGAACGGTTGGTAATTTGTGCACGTTTTGCACAGTCAGTGTCCTAGGAAACTAATGCCTCTTCTCAAGGGTGTGTCAGGCAGCTTGTTATAAACTACTCCATGATGGTGTAGTTCTCTTCTGGGAGCCTTGTTATCCTCATTGGCAGGAAAATACTCGTCTACAGCTTATTCGCACAAACTATTGCATTTATATGGGACAGACTGCCCAAAGGCTTAATATGGCTTCTCTGGAGCGTTGTTTTGGTCCCGTGACACTACATATACAGCAGCCAGACTTCAAAATACAGGCTGTACTCTCTTCCTTGCTTTTTGAGACGTATGCCTGCCTTGTTAAGAGAAAGTTCTCGCCATAACAAATAGAGAACAAACTGTGCTCAAGTATAAAGCAGGCAGCGCTGTCTCAAAGTACTAAGAAACACCCAGCGTGTTCAAGTCCAGGTTCAGATTTTGTAGCAAATGGGCATAGGGGCAGATTTCGATTTCTTTTGTTCTTCAGTGAGAAAGTAACGAGGATTGTGTTGACAGAACTGCTTTGATAATATCATAATAAGAGAAAGGGGCTACATTTTAATGAGCAGGTATTAAGCCACCACTAATTATCTCTCTAACTCTTCTAGTAATGCTAGTGAGTGATCTAATATGCAGTAATTTACCTGAAGGTGGAGAACTAAAAGTACCCTTTGCTCTCTCCATATCTTGAAGGAAATTCTGGAAAACCTATGCAACATTCAATGATGTTTAGTGTTTTCTAAGTACTTTAGCAAGTGCAGATGCTTTTTGATTGGATTTGACATGTTTGGAATTGAGAGTTAATTGAATTGTCAACTGTAAACCCTCCCAACAGCAGCACAAGAGCTGTAACCCTGGGGCAGTCTTTTGTTGTGCAGAAGCTTTTGTTGTGATAGGTGTTGCACCTTTCTCCAGGGAAAGGAGCATCAAAATATAGTAGTTTTTTATAATGGCATCTTAACTTCTGTTATGATGTTATTACTTAAAAATATGAACGGTTATTTTCATCTTTTGTTTTCCTTTTTAGGAAAAGGCACTCCTAGAGGACATAAAATTAGTGATTATTTTGAGGTAAGCATCTTTACATTGTCTGAGAAGTCTACTTGAATTCCCATTATGCAAAATCTGTAGATGGAAGTCTGTAATGTGACTTCAGTTACTGATCCATCATCAGAGTCACCGATTGATGATGTTAACCCGATATGCTGAAATGTGATTAGGTAGAGGATATGAGGGTTTTGGAAGTCGGTTTTTACATTAACATTTCTTTGAACAGTTGATAAAGCAATTTTTTTAAAAGTGAAGCCACGTAAGTACAGGTTTGAGGTTGGAACTTGGATCTCAGATGAGGATATCTGAGTGTGCCAACCTGCTTTAATAAGGGTCCAGTACTGCAAAAGAACCCACCTGCAAAGTCCTGCTGATTTCAGCCTCTTTAGAAAAACTTGTCGCGGTAGGCTCACACCACAGAGGAGACAGAGACCCCTCCCCAAGACAATGATGGATATTCTAAAAATCAGTATTCTTTTAATTGCATAGTTTCTGAAATTTTTCTAGGTCTGCACAATCCAGACCTCTATCTTTTCTCTTAAGTTTGTACTTTATTTTACTGAGTAACTTGGAGTCAGAAATTAAGTGCTTATTAGCACTTACTATTTCCTGGCTAAAGTTTTTTAGGTGCAGGACCATATGAATTTCCAACTAGATCAGTTGCCCCGCTGCTTACATATCCTCTCTTCGACGGTAACGGGCACAGATGCTTCAGTAGAGGTGAACATTTCTTACCACTCCCGTGGTGCACAGTTAGACACCTCTCCTCACAGGGAATGGGCTTCCTAATTCTATATAGTAAATAATTGATTGATATCCAAGTGTGCGGGTTTATATCTTTTTGTGTTAAACAGAAAAACGTACTCTGTGCAAATACGAATGTTTGTCTGAAGTGCTTACTTTTGCTGTTATTTTTGAAAAGAGTGCATGGAATTTTAAGGTTTTGGTCTTAGGTTATATTCGGTTTGTTTAAATGAGGCTTCATTTTTAAGATCAATGAGTTTCTTCCATCTCTGTTAAATTTGCTTAAATATAGTATCTCTATAGAATTACTGATGGTCAAATCTGTTCCTTTGGCCAGTTTGCTGGGGGAAGTGGCCCAGGAACCAGTCCTGGTAGAAGCGTGCCGCCTGTCGCCAGATCGTCACCGCAGCATTCCTTATCCAACCCCTTGCCGGTAAGTGTTCTCCCTGGGGACAGAGCTGGTGGCATGGCATTGGTTAGGCTGGCGGTCGTGCTTCAGACAGGTAGTAAAAGGTTCTGAACAGGAAAGAAGGGTGTCTTGGTGAGTGATTTGGCTTATTCTCTATTCAGTCCTTTTCTTTTAAAATCTGAACCCGGGTTCTGGCAGCAAAGCCAGATGTCTGGGACCCTGTAGCAGTGGCTAGTCCGGTTGTAACTGAGATGAATATCTGAGCTTAAAGCATGCAAGGTGAATGTTTTTAGCATGCTGTGTGGTTACCGATAGATCACTGTCCTTAATAAAATGTGGAACTGACATGTTAGTTATCTTGTATTCTGTTGTAGCTCATGAACTTCTCCATCGAGTTTGGGAGTATGTTGTATGTTTGTGTAGCACTAGAACAATGATATTCCGATCTTGATTGGACCCTTTAGGTATAGGGAAAAATGTTCATACAGTAATTATATTGGGAAGGTCTTTCACTTCTGTTTCCATGCATGTGACTGGTAAGAAGCATGAGCGAAAGCTTGCAAAGAAATGTGTATACATGCACATCTGTTGTTATTTTTTTGTTACGTAATTCCATTTTGCTGTCCCAGCATTTCTGCAAGATCTGAATGTGAAGAAATAACTGGTATTTTTAAGCCATTTTAGCACAGAGTAGCTAAAGAAATTTCTTTCAACTAGCAAAGCAATATTCAGAGGCTGTGGTGTCTGATCTCTAGTTTTGAACATTGCCTGGGTCCCTCTTTATGAATTTTCAGCATTTGTTGAGTGTCACAAAGGTATGGAGCATTATGGGAAAGGTTAGTATTCCGAAAACCAAATGCAAAGTCTTTACTGATTATATTATTCTGCAGAGACCTTCGCACAGTTCATGAATGTGTACTGAACTAAATCCCCACACTGAATGTTCTGCTCAGAGTTCAATATATGTTGCTAGATTTTTGGAAGCTTTTAATGCTGCTTTAAGGCAGAATGTCAGATATGCTTTTAGGTATTTTTGATGTTTACAAAAATTAAAATATATCTGGTTAATGGAGGGGCCCTTTCTCCTGTCGTATTAATTCACCAATACACCTCTTTAAAGAGAAGTTAATGAAAGAAATACCATCTCTGAACGTTAGAGATGCATGAGGTATTAGGGACAGTTCTTTTTCCCAGCAGGTGAGATACCCTGCAGGTGTTTATAATGGGATAAGTTGATTCTTCCTTTGGTTTTCTTCTTCTACATTTGTATGCATTGAGTGGCAAAAGTTTGAAGAGAGTATTTCTCATGAGGTGAAGATGACGTTACAGGTAGTTTCAGCTAGGCCAGTTTGTGTTTCTCCTAACGCAGGTGCTCTTGGTGATTCTTATCTTGTTCTTTACTCTTGCAGCTAAACCTACAATGTTTGCTTACTCATAACAAATTATTATGTGCATTTGTAAGATCTGTCCTGTTCTTATAAACTGAATATCAATGGTTTGAGCTAAGCGCAAAAGAATGGGGGAAAGGAGTGAAAATTGGAGAAGATTGAGTATCTTGCCCATTACAGATATCAGTATGGTCTAGGAAGAGAGCAGAGTGTTAAAATGTCTTTCACAATGAATCAAACCTCCTCCAAACCTGTGAGTTAATCTATATTGTACTGGAAATTTTCTGCAATCAGAACTTATGGAGGAATGGTAATGACTTCAGGATGTTACTTCGTCTTCAAATCTCTTGACTGCTTTGAATTGCCTTGCTTCTCCTTTGATCAGAAGAATGATCTGCAGGTCTTCAGACTCTTCTAAGGTCTCTCTCATATCCAAGCATTCTTTTGGGGAAGAAGGCACACTCTTGACATTTGGAACGTTAGCCAGAAAATATGCTTCAGGTTGCAATTTAGGTTTTTAAGAAAAACCGAAGCTTGACCTGACTGTTTACTTTCTATGTGGCATATGCCTGGCAGAGAGTTACAGCTTGGAAGGACTCAGATGATTATTATGCAGACTGCCAATTTTTAGCAGTGATGGGCTGGCTTTTAAAGCAAGGGCAATGAGATTCTGAGTGCTGTAATCAATGTAGCTCAGATGATTCTTGTTCTTACCGAACCTAGTTCCTGTATCACAGCTGGAAAATTAGTCTACTGCAGGAGAACGGAGCTGGCCTTTAAGAGATGCAATGCATCTTTAAAAGATTTTGGAAATGCATTAGTACTTTGCTTATCTTGCAGGAGTTTGGTCCCAGCTATAATGACAGAAATGAGTTTACCGTGACATCTGGGTCCTAGACATGGTTAGGTTGCTGGCATTTAGCGGTTCTGACTCAGTTTACTTCACCAGAATAATGACTGTATCATGACATTGGTGGTTTTAAAATGAGTCAGTAAAAGACATCAAGTAGTATAATTTTGAATGCATTGACCAAAATTGCAATGCACTAACATTTTTGGATCTACAACCTGTTTTGCTCCGCTGGCTCTGAAACACATGTGTGTATATATAAAGGAAGGCAAGGAAGTTAACTGGCGAGGAATTCTGTCCTGTGTGTTCATTACTTTTTTTTTTATTGTAAACTTCATGTACTTTTTCATGTCTGCCATTGGAACAATCACTCCAGGAGTCCTGTTTGAGTTATCAGATCCTCACCATGCTGCCTGCCCATTCCTGAGCTGCTGCTTCACTGACAACAGTTTTGGCAGAGTCAGAGAATTGCGCTTTTTTTTAAAAAAAAAAAAAAAGTTCATTGTATTTTTTTTGACTGTGTTACAGCGGCGAGTGGAGCAGCCGCTGTATGGGGTAGACGGCAGCACAGCAAAGGAACCGCAGGAGGAACACTCTACTCTGCCAACGCTGATGTCGGTGATGCTGGCGAAACAGCGGCTAGAGAATGAGCAGCTGGCACAGAGGGGAGGTGGCCTCTGTTTTACTTTTGTCTCGGTGAGCAGCTCTGAAAAGATATGAATCCCAAGGGATGTTTCTAGTTAAGGGATGGGGAATTTGAAGCTTTTCTGCTCAAAGACAGTCGTTCAAGTGCAGCCTGGTTTATTGGTGACCAAGTCTACCATCTTCTGGTAAGTTCATCTTCCTTGTGAAGAGTTCTAGGTCCCAGGCTTTGCTTGTTTAATAAAATGATGTGAGTTTTAAGTTAAAGACTCAAAATCTTCCATAGATCAAAATAATAGCATCTGAGAGGCTAATCTGATAGATGCAAAAAAGCAAACGAATGAGGTATAGTCTTGCTGTAAGAAGTGTTTGTTTTGGCCTTACTTAATCTCAGCTGACATTAATTATATTAGGCTTTTATAAGCTTTGTCTTTTAGCAGGTTGGGCCAGGCTTCTTTCAAGAAACTGACTCTCTTGTTTTAATGAACTAAATCTCTAGAGCATTCTTAAACGTTAACATGGAAGTATGGTACCCAGGCCAGGCTGCACCTCCCACGTAAAGATAAGCGTATCTGCATGGGCAGTAGTGATCACGCTGAGGAGCATATAACAATACACTGACTTTCTTTTGCAGGCCCAGCAAGGCAGCCCATCTTCTACCGGATCAGGGAACACTGAGCCTTCCTGCACTTCCCAAAAACAGATTTCCATCCAGCACAAACAGTCACAGGTATAGCTCACTAGATGATACATCTCTTGCATATGAGATTGCAGCTCGATGCAGCTTGTCTTCCACACCAGAGGATGCCACTTGTAGTAGACATAACATTTCCAGTGAAAAGAGCCAGTAGTCCCAACTCAGTCTGTAACTAGTGATTGAAGTGAATTACTCCTATCTTTGTTCCTTATCCTGTAAGGGATGCTTTCAGTTGCTGCTACTGAAGTTTGCCTAATCTATTACTGAGGCTTTTCTGTGTCAATGCTGTGGGTGATTCTTCAGCCGTGTGTGAATGTGCTCAGGAGAGGAACACCTTAGCTCTGTCTGTCTCAGCTCTGTTGTATCCTGAATGTTCTTCCTGTCTTTCTAAGTGAAGATGTGAAAGAAACCTGAGTGATAGTTGTGAATGCCTCTATTCAAGCGCTGGGTCGTGGGTGCCTCCACACTGCTTACAGTACAAATATCCACAGTTTAGCTGGAAGTTCTTTGGCCTCTGCTGAGTACACCCATGACATAGTTTGTCCTGGCAAGGTGGAACATGATTTGTTCCTGACAGTGCTTTTCAGCAACTTCACTGACATGGAGTCAAGAAGAGGAGGAGTTCCTTTGACTGTGCTGATGTCTTTTTGGTGCCTTTTAAATTTTAAAGAGTCTTCTTGTGGCTTTATGGCAAGATTTACTTTTTAGCTGCATCATCCTCCTCTGTTGCTTAGAAGAACTTTCAGCTTTATGTGCAATGCACCGTGCTTATTTCTTCTCCAAGCCTGCTTTTAATCTTCATTTGATTTTCATCTCTGATTTCTCTGTGACTGACCCTTCCCTTGAGTGATTTTTAAACAATCAGTTTTGTGTCAATCATTTTCTCACATCAGTCTGTGTCAGATGATTTTATTGCTGGAGGTAGTTCCTTCTCCTTTTCCCCAGCAGGGTGGTACAAGTTCTTTGTGCATGAAGAATAGCAATTCTACCTCTGGGGATACTTGTTAGCTTAAATCTCTGAGCTCTGTTGTGTCACTAGGGTCGACATTTGTTGTCTGTACTGTCAGGTGCTGGTCTGTGATGATCCCTCTTTCTTGCTAGTGCATGGAGAATTCTTGTGTGAGAATGATGCCGTACCTTGACAACCTGCCAGAGATAACTTTCAGATTTCAATCATCTTTGCTGTCCCAACACCAATGCTTAAAAGAGCGATCCCTCCTGGAGTGAGCAAGAGGTTTTTATTCTCTCCTGTGCTTAGCATGCCCACAGCATCCATCTTCCTCGAAAAGAGAGACACCTGATCTGAGGGTGCTTTCTGCCAGTGCTCAGCCTCATTATATTCTCCAGAGGTCTAGATGTAGCATATGCTTAAGGCAAACAATCAATGAAGTTGCTTGACTGTGTGATAAGGACATGTATATATTCCTGGTTTTCCCTTCCAAACTTGTTTAGAGTTGATAGGGTTTCCAAAAAAAAAAAAAAAAAATCAGTGATCTCCAGTTTGAACCACTTATGGCAATGCCAAAAGCAAGTCAGTGAGATCGTGATTTTCTTAGCATTTTCAGTCAGTGCTAGGGCCCTCCAAGCGCTCTGAGGCAAGGTGAGTTGTGATGAAGTCGCATGTAAGAGCATGCATCCTGCAACATGACTTCAGCTGACACAGTGCAAGCATGTCTGTGCATTTGGCAAAATGACATAACAGTCACTTGCTAAACAAATTTTCTGCTGCTTGGCGGAGTGGATGCAGCCTAGGTTTTCAACAGGAAGCCTTCTCATTGCCTTCGGTGACAAAAGCTTTTGTTGCATGTGCTTCCTGCAGGCTGTCAGGAAGCATAAACCAAGTTAAGGCAGAAGTGAGGTGACCTGCCCAGGCCTCCGCTTTCTCTTTTGGGGTTTAGTCTCATCTTGCTTGATGTGCAATGCTGGCAGGTGTTCTTTTTGATCTTTCCCATACTGGGCATATGTAGTGCAGCAGCAGTCTGCCAAGTTTGTCTCTTACTTCGTGGTGTTAGCTTCCAGGCAAGCCTGAAATTTGGAGAACAGTTATATGACGGCTCCACAGGTAAGTCTCTGCTAACTCTCCTCAGAACCAGGATAGCTGCTTGCTAGCCGTAAGTGTGAAGTCTGTGTATGCAGTCATGGAGCGAGATTCTCTTGTGTTAACTTGGGTATTTAGATTCTACGTTCATGTACATACTGACTTCTTTCCCCTTTTCTTCCCCACTCATTAATGAGAGTGCTGAGTTTGAAATATTTCTACTGCTAGCGAATATAGCGTATGTCTTTTGGCTTCTCTTCCTGGGTATAACTCTCACTTCATTGGTGAAGGTATTTGAGATGTGCTGCACCCCATAAAACTTTCCAAATAGGTTTCATTCAAGAACTATAAAGCTTCTGTCCCTAGTGGGCACTAATACATCGGTTTGTCAGAAACAAAGACTTGTGCCT